CACACACGGACACACATACAGCCATCCACCCCCAAACACACACTCTCTCACTCACTCACTCACTCTCTCAATCTCTCAATCTCTCACTCTCTCACGCTCTCTCTCTCTCACGCTCTCTCTCTCTCTTTCTCTTTCTCTCTTTCTCTCTCTCCCTCCCTCCCTCCCTCCCTCCCTCCCTCCCTTCCCCCTCCCTCCCCCTTCTCCCCCTTCCCCCTTCCCCCACCCCCACGCTATATATTATTATGCAACCAAGGACCCGTTGGCAAGATTCAGCCGAGAACGAGCAAAAGTGAGCTGGTGTTGGTAGGCAGCTCCTCTTGGAACACAATTAAACACGCTCTTGTACCGTGCATTGTTACCCCGGCACTGGCTGGACGTGATGGCAAGAAGGTGGGTAATGAAGAAACTGCTAATGAGTGTCTTGGAAGAATGGGTGAGAGGGAGAGGGAGACGAAGGAGAAGGTGGGGAGAGAGGAAGAGGGAAGGGAGAGGGGGTGGGGGGAGGAGGGGGAGGAGGGAGAGGGAAGGAGGGGGAAGGGGGAGAGGGAGAGGGAGGGGGGAGGGAGAGGGAGAAGGAGAGAGAGAAGTAGAAGGGAAGGGAAGAGGTGAGAGGAAGAGGGAGAAGGAGAGGGAGGGGGGGGGGAGAGGGAAGGGGGAAGGGTGAGGGAGAAGGAGAGAGAGAAGTAGAAGGGAAGGGAAGGGGTGAGGGAGAGAAGGAGAGGGAAAGGGAGAAGAAAATAGAAGGGATGAGAGGGGAATGGGAGAGGAAGGAGAGAGAAAAGACAGGAAAGAGGAAAGTATAAGAAGGAATTGAGGAACAGGGAGAGAGCTAGAATGATTTTACATTCAACGTATTTTACAATTCTCTCTTTATCACCCTCTCTGTCCCATTCCCTCTCTTCTATATTCGTTTCAATTACTCCCATGTTTTGTCAACCACTTATTCTGTTCTCCGTCTCTCTCTCTCGCGTATCCTTTTTCCTCGTTTATCAATTTATCTCTCCATCCACCATCCCCTTCCCTCTAAACAATCAAAACCACACATATTTACCTATCTATTTACCTATCTATCATCCTCTGTACTCTCTCTATCCCTCTCTATCTATCCGTACCTCTCCTATTCACCCATTTATCATCCTCCATACCTCTTACATTCCTCTCTATCTATCCGTACCTCCCCTATTCACCCATCTATCATCCTCCATACCTCTTACATTCCTCTCTATCTATCCGTTCCTCCCCTATTCACCCATCTATCATCCTCCATACCTCTTACATTCCTCTCTATCTATCCGTACCTCCCCTATTCACCCATCTATCATCCTCCATACCTCTTACATTCCTCTCTATCTATCCGTATCTCCCCTATTCACCCATCTATCATCCTCTATACCTCTTACATTCCTCTCTATCTATCCGTACCTCCCCTATTCACCCATCTATCATCCTCTATACCTCTTACATTCCTCTCTATCTATCCGTACCTCCCCTATTCACCCATCTATCATCCCCCATACCTCTTACATTCCTCTCTATCTATCCGTACCTCCCCTATTCACCCATCTATCATCCCCCATACCTCTTACATTCCTCTCTATCTATCCGTACCTCCCCTATCTATTCCTATCCCATCCCGCCGATTCGTGTATGTATGTAAAGACCCAAGTAAATTTCAGAGGTGGACGAGAGCTCTTTTTATCGTACCGCCTTTAATTCTTCGATATGTAAATGGCCAGGGTCGATGGTGCATGACTAACTAGGGAGGCCAAAACAGGTGTTCACTTCTCGGCCGACTTGCATGAGGCTACGCGCCGACCCGACTGCTTGTTTGTGTGGAAGAACAGGGGGTGTGGGGGGGAGGATGGGGGGAGGGGGGTTGAAGAGGGGGTTAGGAGCGGTTTCTCTCTTTTTTTGTGTGTGTGTGCGTGTGTATGTGTGTGTGTGTGTGCGTGTGTGTGTGTGTGTGTGTGTGTGTGTGTGTGCGTGTGTGTGTGCGTGTGTGTGTGTGTGTGCGTGCGCACGCGTGTGTGTGTGTGCGTGTGTGTGTGCGCGCGTGTGTGTGTCTAGTCTGGGTGACTGATTCGTTAAGCTGACGTGTTTTCTGGTATAATTAACCTTCTCTTCTTTTCTTTCTTTTCACTTTCTCCTTTTGTCTGTCTGTCGGTATGTCTGTGTAGCTCTTTCTGCCTGTCTGTCTCTGTCTCTCTTTCTCTACCTCCCTCTTCCATTTTTATCTTTCACTCCATCTCTCTGTCTCCCTGATTCTCTTTTTGTCTCTTTCTCTTCCTCCCCCTTTGTCTGTCTAATTCTTTTCTGTATCTCTTTCTCTTTCTCTTATTCTCTCTCTCTCTCTCTCTTTCGTTCTCTCTCTCTCTCTTTCTCTCTCTCTCTCTCTCTCTCTCTCTCTCTCTCTCGTTGTTACTACTACTACTATTATTATTATTATTATTATTATTATTATTATTATTATTATTATAAATCATCCTTATCATTACTTAATGTTGGTTTACTGAATACCGTCTCTTCGTATTTATCAGGACACACAGTTTCATGTATAAAGAAACAGACATGCACA